TCGATGTTCAATTTTATACGTTTTTCAATAACATTCTTTAATTTGTACTTTTTAATGAGAATCTCCTCGGCCAATGTCAGTTGTTTTATGGAAAATTTTGAAAATAAAAATGTTTAAATACTATTGTTGTGATTAAGACAAAACAATACCAATTTACAAAACATCAGCTTCAAGGCGTGATTCGATAAAGCGCAATTATAGTATGCTTCAGAAATTAACAAATTTGTTTTCATTTTTTGTGAAAAAGTTAATTTTTCGACATTGACCCTTCTTGTACCAAGCCACAGAAATACATGTCTGTTTTCTTCACGATACTTTCGTATTTCTTTTAGATACTTTCGTCTCCAACAGACGATGTCTAATTTATCCAAGAGCATTGCTTTTCTACTCGGTCTTTCTCAGGAAAAATTAAGTTCTTTTAAAAGTTTCCAAAGATTGCGCTCTGCTCATCTTGGGTAAATCTTCGTCTTGATTTATTGCAGCGAAAATTTTATTCAGTGTCGGTATCTCTTTGTTGAAATAGAAAGAATAATTAAGTACTGATCATTTTCACCAACCACCATTTTAGATCTTCCAGAGGATGAAGCTGGTTCCTTCACAGCACCCGTGGTTGCTTCTTCTATTTCGAAGTTTATATATCGTGGTTTTTCCAACACCAGTCATATTAGCACACCTCTCCACAATAGTGTCGACACTGCACAATTGGTATTCGTAGCGAAGAGTATTAAATACATTTAAAACAATAATTTTTTCATTTACAGCTGCACTTTTAAAACGTTTCGCAGGAGAAAAAGGCATTTTTACTACGCACAAAGAGAAAGCAAAAATCAAACTAAGTTTAAATAACATTTTCTTGTTACATTAACGCCAAATTCTTCTTCCCTTTTTAATTACATCTCATTAACGAACCCATTTATTAATAGAGATAAACGAAAAACTTAATGACGGAAATACATTTGGGATAGCGTCATTTAATCGTGGTGATTAATTTTCTGTGAATTTTATTCTTCGCACTCTGGTTTCCCCTTCTTATAATAAACTTAGATATTTTACTGAATCACTGAGCCTTAAACATATTATTACCGTACGCCACTGGTAGCTGTCTGTCAGAAAATTTATTACTTCGCGTCAATTTTGGATAGACTTTTATTCACAATCGGTTAGTAATAAGAGTCATTCGCCTCATTTAAGAAGTTTGAAAGTCGGCCGTAACTAGATTATATTTATTACGAAGTTCAAAAGTATGAACTTTCGCGCTAAGGAAGGGAAGTAATAGCTACTAATATCAGTCACAGATGGCGCACTAGATGAGATGGAGTTTTGAATCTCTGTTGCACCGTGACTCTCTCAGTGACCTCGGCACTGCGCAACCGTAAACACGCTAGAATTTGAAGGTTACATTGGACTGACCGCTGTTGTTTATAGTTACAATCAGGCGTTGTTTGGTCTGCTCAGTAGAAAAGTTGATTTCTTGAGTAATAG